TTCGACGCCGTGCTGGTGTGCAGCGGGCACCACACCGATGCACATCTCCCACTGAACACCTTCCCAGGTACTGCCCTGCACTGAATGAGGAGACACTACAGAAAGCTCAGCCATGCCAGTCCCTACTCTCCTTGCTGCTTTTCCTCTCAGCCCTAGCATTTCCCTGCCTTGCTTTGACTCCAGGAGTGTTCCCATGCTCCCCAGGAGTGCTTTGGTGGGATGAGGGAGCATCTCCACTTCAGTCTTTGTGGGGGTGATCCTCCAGCCTGGCACGAGGAAGCCAGGCATATCTTCTCCCTGCTCACAGGAATCGAGAAGTTCAACGGCCGCTACCTCCACAGCCGAGACTACAAGGACCCTCAGGATTTCAGGGACAAGAGGGTCGTTGTTATCGGGATTGGGAATTCAGGGTCAGACCTGGCTGTGGAGATCAGCCAAACGGCCAAGCAGGTGAGAAGTGGGAGTAGGGTCCTGGTGGGCAGGGCAGCCCCCTTTGGGACACTCTTGGCTCCACAAGGACACCAGGACCAAGGCACTTGCACTGCCACTCCTCCATCCCAGCACTCACTGTATTTGGCCATGCTGGTACCCGTCAGTCACAGCCACCAGGCAGTGGTGGCAGTTGAAAGTCAGTCCCACACAGACCCCAATTTTTTTCCCTGAGCCCCAGGCTCCTGTGGCACTTCCCTACGTCTCCCTGCTAGATGCCAGTCACCAGCTCCCTCTACCCTCTGGGTCTTTGCCCAGTGTGGCAGCACAAAGCAGAGTGATCCCAGGGCAAGGACGTGCCCCCCCGGGGCAGCCCCCCCAGGACCATCGCTGCCTTCAGGAGGTGATGCTTCTTCCTTGTCCAGGTCTTCCTCAGCACCCGCCGGGGTGCATGGATCCTCAACCGCGTTGGAGATCAGGGCTACCCCATCGACACCATCTTAACCACCCGCATGAAGGTATTCCTGCAGGAGCTGCTCAGCCCGTCCCTGGCGTGTGACTACATGGAGAATAAGCTGAACGCCAGGTTTGACCACACGCGTTATGGCCTGAAGCCAAAGCACAGGTATCAGCAAACATTCCCCCTGCCCAGGAGGGACCCACCGCCTCCCTCTGTGTCCAGCCTTGCTTTACCATTCCATGTTCCCTATGTCTGGAAACCAGGTTAATAGCTGTGTTGTGCCCAAGCAATGCTCAAGGGAACCACCACTGCCCCTTCCAGGGACCCTTGGTGGCACCAGTGCAGGGGCAGCCACTGAGCATCTCTGGGGGATCAGCCCTTTGACAATGAGCATCCCTGGGGATGAGCATCCCCAGAGCAGGACACAGAACAGAGAGACACCCTCCCCAGTGCTCTAATGGCTCCTTGTACCTTCCAGGGTCCTTCACCAGCATCCAACCATCAACGATGACCTGCCCAACCGCATCATTTCAGGCAGGGTGCGGGTGAAGCCGAATATCCAGGAGTTCACAGAGACATCTGCCATCTTCGAGGATGGCACCAGGGAAGACATCGACGTTGTAGTTTTTGCCACAGGATACAGCTTCTCCTTCCCATTCCTTGAGGGCTTTGTGAAGGTGGTGCAGAACCAGATCCCCCTCTACAAATTCATGTTCCCCCCTGACCTGGAGAAGCCAACGCTGGCTTTCATCGGCTTCATCCAGCCCCTGGGTGCCATCATGCCCATCTCCGAGCTCCAGTGTCGCTGGGCCACTCGCGTCTTCAAGGGTAAGTGAGGCAAACCTGCCCCGTGGCTGCAGCCTGAGCCTAGAGCCCTGGAGCAGGGGCAGATGGTGCCAGCCGTGTCAGGGAGGCTGTGGCATCCTGGCTTGCAGCCCTCACGGTGAGATGGGCTCTTGCCTGACAGGCACAGAGACATCCATACCCTGTGTTCCATGGGCTGCTCCTTCCCATCCTGAGGAGCTCAGACAAGCCTCAGGTGCCAGACCACCGGCCATGGTGGTGCCGGCAGGAGCACAGCACCCAGGCAAGGGCAGCACCAACAGTGGCCAGTAGGGTGCAGCCCCCCCATGCTGTGGCTCATCCTCCCTAGGTCTGAACGAGCTGCCCCCGCGGCACGACATGGAGGCTGACATCAAACAGAAGAAAGAAGCGATGGCAAAGCGGTAAGATCCCCACAGGAACAGGGAGGGGGGCTGCTGTGGGCACAGCTGCCCGTGGGCACCCGTCCTGTCCCACGGCTGCATCCCAGCACATTTGTTCATGCCAACAGATGTCAGGGATATGATTGGTCACACTACCCCCAGCCCACTAATCCTTCCCCATGGTGATCCATCCAATACTGCCTTGCCGGTGCGCAGGGCATCTGCCAGCTCTCCTGCCAGCACCTGCCCTTCCTCCCTGCCCACAGGTACGTGAAGAGCCAGCGGCACACCATCCAGGTGGATTACATCCCCTACATGGACGAGCTCGCCTGCCAGCTGGGGGTCAAGCCCAACCTGCTCACCCTCTTCCTCACGGACCCCAAGCTGGCTCTGGAGGTGGCCTTCGGTCCCTGCACGCCGTACCAGTACCGGCTGCGGGGCCCGGGTGCGTGGCCGGGTGCCAGGGAGGCCATCCTGACCCAGCAGCAGCGCATCTTCAAGCCCCTGCAGACACGGCACGTGGAGGAACGTCCCTCAGCCCTCGCTATGCCCCTCATCTTCAAGGTGGTCGGGGCCATGGCCATCCTCGCTGCTGTTTTTGCTTACTTTTAGGTGCCCTGCAAGCATGGGAGGGGAGGGTTTGCAATGTGCCAAGGGGCTGGCCGGCCACCCCTGCCCCATAGCAGTCTGTGCACCCCAGTGCTGGCAGAAACCCCTGCCTAGCACGGCCCCATTGTGACCACACCATGAGCTCGGGATGCACAGAATCTCCCCAGCTGCCAAAATAAAGCTTGGACCCCTGTGCTGTGCCTCTCCCTGTGGAGCTGCTGTCAGGGACAGAGAAAGAAACTTGCTCATATGCGGGGTAAAATCCAGTCCCTCTCAGCCAGCGCTCTGGGCTTTTCTGCCCCCTGTAACCCAGCCGTGCCACCGCTGGCACACTCACAGGAAAGCTAAGCAGCAAAGGCACTGCACACTTCTTCACTGCATAAATGCATTGAACAGCCAAGCATTGTCCTGTTACTGACAACATCATGACCCGCTGTGTGCCAGGGGAATGCTCACGGGTGTGAGGTTGTCCTCGTGCCACTAGCCCACAGCAGTACACACATACACACCTGTGTGTATCCACAGCAAGACAGCCTCTCTCAGCGTGTGTGACACAGGAGCAGGTCCCAGGGGTCACAGTAGCACAGTTCAGTGCCACCTTCGTCACCTGCACGCAGCCCCTCCAGAAGATGGCTGGGTGGGATGGGCACCCAGAGTGGCGACAGGAGTCTTGGCCACCACACACCTGGGCTGGCATGACTACCAACCACCTGAGCATCCTCCTAGTTTGTTTTCCATGCCACAACCTGCTGAAATCTGGAGCACAGCCACATCTCTGCCCTGCCCAGCAAGTCCTGGGGCAGTGCATCATCAAGTGCTTACAGAATCTAATGAGCCTCCTGTGGAGGGCAGGCACAGATAGGAGGAGTGGCAGAGTGGTGGGGGGAACCTGTAGATCGTGTCTAGAAAAAACACATCTTATGAAACCCTAGCTGCCCTTGGCCACCCACAGGAAGCACAGGGACACTCACTCCCAAACTGAGCTCCCTTCCTGGTGTAGCCCGCCAGGCTCTGCAACCCGCTCAGTGCCACAGCTTCTCCGGAATCCCTGCCAACACCAGAACGTGGGACATGGCTGCCCAGAGAGTAGCCATCATTGGTGCCGGTGCCTCTGGCCTGTGTGCCCTGAAATGCTGCCTGGATGAGGGGCTGGAGCCCACCTGCTTTGAGAGGAGCAAGGACATCGGGGGCATCTGGCGCTTTGAGGTAAGCCCCATCCGTGCCAGCCTGCCCCACGGCAGCAGCAGGGATAGGATTGGGATCGGTTCTTGGCAGATAACAAGCAGCACTCCCCTGCTTTGTAAGCGTGTGCCAGGCAGGTTTACAAGCTAAACGACAGGTAAGTAAAACGGCTTGGCAGCAGAAGGTCCCCGTGGTGCCAGCTGGTGTGCTGGGCACATGGGACCCATCTCCTTCCCACCAGCAGCAGCATGGACCCTCTCCAGGGACCTCACCCCAGGGCTTACTCCCCCCACCTCAGCTTTCCTCTTTCCCATCCTTCCCTTCCTGGTCTCATCCACCCCTTGCTCTGCTGATTTGCTCTCGGTCCCCTCCAGCACTTTCCCACCTATCCTTGTCCTATCTGCCCCCATTGTCTGTCCCAGTTTCTGTCTTTCCCAGCCCTTCCCTGGAATCGCTGTTGCTCCCCTCCCTGGTCCTGTGCTGCTCACCCACGCAGAGGCACCAAGTGCTGCCTCCTCTGTGCCTTGGCTCTCTCTGTCTCAGGGGAAACCTGGGAGCTTGTTTCTGCACCCACCTAATAAGGCTGCTGACTTTTCCCCCATGGACCCACCAACAAGAATACCAGTGCTCCCACCGTGCCCTGTTATGTGGGTGGGAGAGGCCAGGGGGACACACATGGGCACCACACCAGTGTGGGGTCGGGAGTGGCTCAGTCACAGCCTGCTGGTCCTGCCCATGATGGGTCAGGAATGGGACTGGTGCAGCAAAGCCAGGGAAGCAGCATCCAGCTGCAAAGGCACAGACCTGTCAAGCAGGAGCAGCCACTCAGCAAGGAGCACTGGAGCTGGCTCCACAACCAGTGAGACCTGATGTGGCAGCTGCGGCAATGACACCACAAGCAGCTTCAGAAATGCGCCACCTCACAGGGGCAAGGAGTGGGAGTGGGGAAGCTGAGGCACAAGACCACCACGACATGCTGTCACTACTGCCTGGTTGTCACAAACTCAGAGCTTCCTCTTCCCCATTTTTTGAGGCAGGTGGTCTCCCTCATGGGAGAGTGCAGGAATGGGTGCTATGATCGCCTGTGGCCCAATTCAGCATTCACAGCCATGGGGATGTGCCAGGCAGGGCAGGCAGGTGGCCCTGCAGTCCCTGGCCAGCACTGAGCCATGACCCACTCCTACAGGAGAACCCCGAGGAGGGCCGTGC